AATTTCAAGATTATTTCCTATATATTTTGGCATTAACCTTTCATATCTAAAAAATAATAATTAATTAATTGATTGATAATATTTTGCATATAATTCATAAATACTCTTTCATTATTTCTAAGAACTTTTTACGATATTCAATTCTATTACAAAGATTTGAAAAGGGCCGTTTTGTTTCCTTAATTCTTTAGAATGGAAGGAGGTTTGAATGAATCAACAAATGGATGAATGAATGAATGAATGAATTAAATAGATGGTTTAATAATTGAATGGTTTTTATGGAAAAAGATTTATTATAAAATAAAACACGAATTTTCGAAAGTCTTTCCAATTTACACCTAATTTAGTATCAATAAAACTTTAAAGTTATTATATCACGCATATTTTTATATATGTATCACGATTATCATGCGCCACTAATACAAAAAAAATAAAAATGATTCCTTGTTTTCTTTATTTGGAAATATTTTTTTATATAATTAGATAACAAGTAAATAAATAATAACCCAAACTTTTTGATCCAGTATTTTTTTAAACTTGTGGTTGATAAACACGCCACAGAACGAAAATAACCGCCACTTCGGATTTGTATATTAAGCCACATTTGCCTTAATTTATACTATAAAATGCAATAATCACTTGACGTAATAGTAACAATATACAATGTTGCGTGATTATCATCTATATTTTTTTATTTACACAAATTTAGAACAATATTAATATCACGATTTGAAAGGATATATTATATAAATCGAAAAAATCACTTTTATTATTTATTATTCCTTTCATTATCTTCACCCCCTTTTGTTTCTTTAGTACCAAATATTTTACATATTTTCCCCACACTTTTATCACATCTCATCTTTTAGAGATAATGAATTAATTAACAATATTTTAATTTCAATAATCACCATTATAATGTGAGAAACATATGGAAAAGGTAAACAACATTCTCATGTGTAAATCAAAAAGAGTGGATCTAAGAACATACATGGAACAATCTGATAGTTATGATAATATGCGATTGTTCATATTAAAATATGAATTCCATAGTTTAAATTAAGACTACCTTTACCATATCTAGAAATAATTTACATTAACAGATCATATATATATATAGAAAAAACAAAATGACGATTTCTTTGCTCGGATGAATGGATTGATTGTGTATTGGAATTTTCGCCTAATTACTTAACAAGTTAGCGAAAGATAAATTTACACGAGCTTTCCCTTCCTAAATTGATAAAAAAAAGATCTTTTGTTTTATTGGTTCTTTGGTATCTTTTTCAATGGCAATTACACATTGTTTATTTTTTGCAGTACCAGTAATTAACACTGTTTTTATGAAAATAAAAGTAAATTTAAAAGTATTAGTTTCACGTGCAAAAAACTCACTATTAATAAGCATCAAAATTATTTTGATATTTATATCTTCCGATCTTATCGAGGATTTAAAAATTCTAGTGTGTGTAGCGGTTGCAGTAAAGTGAATGAATGCTCCCAAAAACGAGGTCATTATGAAGTGAGAACTACAACTTTATTTATCATCATAAAAAAAAATTGCATTGATTACCCTAAGAAATAACGAGGCATTATCAAAAGTTTGTATCACCATTCGATCATTACAAAATAAGAACAATGGCATCCGCAGGGGATAATATATATTTTTTTTGTTGCATAATTTTCAGCCTCAATGAACATCCTTAAAAATTTCATCTTTGGATCTTCGATTCTGCAAAAAAGATTTTTATTGAGGTCTCATGGCATCCATGAAATCTGTTAATTGCAGTCATTCCATATGATTTTATTACGTCCCTAATAAAAAAAATCTATTTTTGAATTTCATGCATAATCACTTCAAAATTTTTAAATTTTTAAATTTTTAAATAATAATATATTTCTATTGTCTTTATTTTCCAATTATAATAAAATAGGGAGATAACAGAAGTTCTCTTGTAAAATTTATTGTGTTTTGAATTTATATTTAATTTATTTAATTCACTACATTTATTTTTCATTTTCTTTTAATGGGATAATTTGTGAGAAAAATTTATTTTTTAATAAAAAAAAAAATAAAAAAAATAATTCAAATTACCAACTAGTCTTATTAACTTTGATTCAACATCTAAATGGCATTTATTTAAAATAATATTTGGTTTCTTTAATTTTTACGTGTTTTATAATTGTACATATAACTAATAATATATTAGAAACTTTAAATAATCTTGAGGAATTCCAAATCATTGAACGCGTAGCGTCTTTTTCTTTTGTTATTATTGAAAAAAATAAAACATTCATTAAACCTAATTAACTCCCCCAAAAAAAATTTCTTTGTGCGTATTTGTATTAATGAAATAAAATTATTTATTTATTATATTTAAATAAATTTCAATATAATAAAAATTTTATCACATACTAAATCAATTTATCATACGGAATTTATTTCATTCTAACAAAATTTTTTCTCCTATTGATAAACATTAACGCGTCTCTAGACATAAATAACTTTAATTATTCCTTTTTTTCTTTTTGTTAAACACAAAAAATTTCTTTAAAAGTTTCTTTAAAAAATATTCAAAATTTCCTCCCTTTTTTGTCTTCAATTGAATTAATTCTTTCTCATTAAAAATAAAAAATCTTTCGAGTTATATAACTTTGATTTGTTTCACAAATTATCACTATTAATTGTTGTTAGAATAAAGTTGCACCAATTTAAATTTCTTTTTCCTTTTGTTAATAATCAATTTTATTTTCTTTGTATAAAAAGACTTGATTGTTGTTTTTCACACAACGAATATCTTTCTCACAGAACATTAATATTAATATTTTATTTATTTGTTCAGGGATTATTAATAAATTTTCAAATATGATACCAAATTTATCGTTTGTGTGCGTAACCATTGAGGTCCACAATACGCATCATCATTATGATGTCATAATGTGTAAAATTATAAAATTTCATAAAAAAATTTAGTAAGTTAAAAAAGATATGGACGAACTTCCAAATGCAACAAAAGTATACAAGTTATCAAAACAAGAATACGATACTTTGTTGGAGGCTAGTAAATTATATAATAAACATTGTGTGTACGTTTTATATATTTACCTTTTTTTTTTCTTGAAGAAATCTGTTGTTTTAACTTTTGTAATTTAGTAAAAATTGGGTCATTTGTTGGTTTTGTTGCTGGTGGTATAG